GAAGTCAACCCGCTCAGTCATCCAGTCCGAGAAGCCGTCACCTGGGGGTTGGAGGGGACATGAAGATCCTTGAGTCCCAGGTGCTGATTTCTGTCTGCCTCACTCACTGAGTAAATCACCAGCAGTCGACGAGCCAAGCAGCCCACCAAACACCCAGCCGGCCGCTCAGCCAACGCGTGAGCCATCGGCCCGTGAGCCCATTTGCCGATCGATGAATCAACCAGCCAGTACCTACCCGAAAAAACAGCCGCCCCTGCGCCCCCGGTCTGCGGCTGCAGACTTCGCTCTCTCCCTAGAAAGTGTTTTGTACTGTAGGCGACAGGGTCTCTATGGAGGCGCTAGTTGTTTTAGAAAGCTGACGTGGCGCTGCACACCTGGACGCAAGGCCCGGCCCGGGCGTCGTGCTACTGCCCGTATGTGTCACACTCAACAGAAAGCATCTAGGGTACATGGCACTGAGCTCCTTAGTGCGCCAAGCAGCTGGGGACCGAGTGAAAGCAAGTTCTGTCGCAGGGCCTTGGCCCATGCAGTTCCCTCCACCTGCAAAGCTCTTCTTCTGGGTCCTTTGAGGGCTCCTTCCTCCCCCCTTAGGGCCAGGCCACGGCATAGGGAGACTGTGGTGCAAGCCCACAGTGCTGGGGCTCCCCCACCCCTGGGTGAGAAGCCGGCGCCTTGGTTACCCCCTCTCGAGTGCCTGAGCGGCATTTTAGCTCGGCTCCCTTGTCCCGGCATATCCCGTGCGTCTCCTGAGTAAGAGCTCAGAAGGGCAGGGACACTGCAGCGCTCAGCGAAGCGTTCTCCTGCGGCCTCAGCCCCACCCCGCTCACCCATCCCCAGGTGTCCCCAGCCCTTACCTGCCAGGGGCTCTCCCCCCCCTGGAAGCCCGCCCTCCAGGGCTCCCCCAAGGACCTCATAGGGACCCAGGGGGGCAGGGGCCAGGGGGAGTTTCCCATAGTCTACGAGCCAGCCCAGCCCGCTAGCTGGGAGCAGGGCCCTGTCCAGCTCCAGCCCGAGGGTCGCCAGGAGTGACATGGCTGCAGTAGAGGCGCCGGGCGCCGATGGCCACGAAGGAAGCTGCACCGGCAGCTGGGAGGGCGCTCTGGAGGCTGCTCAGCGGGGCGAAGACAGGCACCAGGGTGAAGGTGGAGGACCTGCAGTTGGGAAACAGCAGTGGGGGTGGTCAGCGGCCAGCCTCAGCGCCAGCCACGGCACAGGGAGACCGTGGCGCAGGCGCACAGTGCTGGGGCTCCCCCACCCCTGGGACTAAGCCCAGCCTTCCCCCCCTACTCCCAGCCTCACCTGCTCCCAAGGGAATTCTCTCTCCTCCTCACTCACTTTGCTTCACAACTCCCAGTCTCCTATCTTCCCCCAGTGCGGACACCTCATGGTCTCCCCTGAGAATTTCTTTACATCCTCCCCTCCTCCCCCATCCATTCCCTTTAGTTTAGCAAAAAAAATCGAACAGAAAAAAAACCCGAAATCCCGCACCCCGGGGCATTCTACCCATCACAACCCTCCTTCCCCAGATGCCATCTCAAGGCAGTCCCTAGGGAATTCCCAGCCCCTGGGGCCCCAAATCTGCCCATGCAAAACCCACTGTTCCCCTAGAACTTTGTTTGGCTTTCCAGGCCACGCCCACTACTTCTCACAGCCCCACCCACTCCCGGGGTCCCGCCCCTCCCATCCCTTCGGCCCCTCCCTTCGTAAGGCCAGCCCCAAGCCCCGCCCTTCGTGAGGGCTAGGGGGCCTAGCCCCGCCCCCTGTAAAAGGTTGCCTCTAAGCCCCGCCTCCTGCCCTGTCACTCTAATCAGCCCCTCCTGGGCAGGGGCTGAACAAGACGGAGGGAAGCGGAGCGGTAAGCCGGTTTGAGGTGAAGCTAGGAGGGTGGAGGGGGCTGCGCAGGTCCGCCTCCCATCTCCCATCCTTCCCGGGCGGGTGTAGCCGAGGGCCAAAGCTCATGATCGCCACAGGCGTGCTCTACAAATTCCCTCAAGCCCACATCCTCCTGGTTGCTAGTGCGCATGTGCACCTGCTTGCTTAAACACCACCCCCCCAGAAGGGCGCCAGCGCTGTGACGCGCATGCGCAACTGCAACCGCGCGCTGACAATTGCTCAGGGAGAATCGCCCCTAAGAACGCGCCCTCCCCCTCCACCCCGATCGGGTCGAACGCGCATGCTCAGCCGCGCGTCTCCCGTCGCCGCCCCTCTTCTGCGCTTGCGCGACCGTGATCCCTCGCTCCGGCCTCCCCACCCCCGGGCCTGCTCGTGAGGGCCGCGAGCTTCCAAAGGGCGGGAAGGCGGTTGGCCAGGGAGGGGCGAGCGGTTACTCACTCCATGGCTGCGGAAAGGAGAGGCGGCGGCGGCCGCGGCTGAAGAAAGAAGGCGGGACGGAGAGCGCAGGCGCGGTGAGCGCGGAGACGGGTCGGGGCGCGGAGGGGTGGCGGCTACAGAGCCATGGCGGGGGCTGCGCGGGCGGAGGCGGCGGCGCGGCAGCGAGAGGACAGATCGGGCTCTGAGGACGCGGAATGTGGCGGCTCCGGGGACTGGGGACAGATATAACGGGGCGGCGCAGCACGCCCGGATCCCTCCGCGCCGCGCCCCGCCCCGCCGGGTCCCAGCCCGAGGCGGGCCTGCCCCCCACCTCTCGGGGCCGGGGATTCGGTCCCCTCCGACCCCAGGAGGTCGGCCTCCCTCCGCCTGCGACCTGGGAACCCCGGCCCTGGTTCCTTCGACCCCGGGGTTCCTGCCCTCCCCTTCAGACTTCTGTGTGGGTCTGGGGGCGCGACTCCCTCCGGTCCCCGGAGGCCCGCGCGTGAGGTTCGCTCCTCCCCCGACCCTGCCGCATGGACTTCCGGTCAGCCATGTGCGCGACCTTCCTCTGCCGGGCCTGGGCCTGGGCCTGCAGGGTGGCCCGGACGGGAAGCCCCAGCTCGCTGCCCGAGCCCCCGGGCACCCGAGGACGGGCCCTGGTTCGGGGAGGCAACCCTCACCCGCCCAGCTGGCCTGTCGTCTGGGGGAGCCCGGAAGCCAGAGCCTGGTCCCCACGTGTCTGCCCTGCCCGTCTTTCTTACCACTGCCAGGAGCGCTGGGCGCCTTAGGGACCATCTGCTTCCTGGGGTCCTGGCACTGGAGCACGAAGCCCTGCTGACAGGTCATTCTTGGGCCTCCTTCAGGCTGCAGGGCCATCCCCCGCATGCCCACTGCCCCCCGCTCCAGATAATGAGCACCGGGCCAGCCCATCCTGGTGCAGAGAGCCGGCATGGGGCCCCAGCCTCGCAGCACCCCTGCCGCAGCCTGGGCGTCAGCCAGCCTCCCTGGCCTCTGTCTGTCCAGCCTGGGCCTCCCTCCCTGTGCCCGGGCCTCTGCCAGCCCGCCTGGCGCTGGGCCTTGGCTCTGCTGCCCCTTTTCCCGTCAGGTGGGAGCCCTGACTTGAGTGTGAGCTGGAGATGAACATTCTGGCTCCTGGATCCCCCCTTCTTTTGCATTTATCCTGCGTGTCCGCGGGTTTTAGGGGCTACCCTAGTGCCCAGGCAGCATGGAGTCTTCGTTAAAGCAGACTGTGGGGCCAGGTTATATGGGTTCAAATGCTGAGTGCTCCCCACTTCCTAGCTGTGCGTCACTGGTGATTTCCCTGACTTTGCGGGGTCCGGGCTCCTCTAGTAAAACGTGACCATCAGTGGCCCTGCTCCTGTGGGCTCAGGAGGGTGGGCGGCTCCCGGGGCCCGTAGGCGGCCATCGAGGTGGTGCGCTGTCTCTTTGCTGTAAGTGCTTTCAGGCTGTGGCTGATCTCCGCCGTCGAAGTGACACTTGAGGACTGGGCTGGCTGGACGCAGGCAGTGCTGGCAGTCACCGCACGCCTCCAGGGCATCTTCTGAGAGCCTCATTATGTGCGGGGGCTAGGTCTGCAGTTGAGGTTTTTTTAAATTTTTATTTAAGCATAGAAGAACGGGGTGCAGGCCAGCGGTGTGGGGGAGAGAGGACTCCCCAGAGACAGTGGGGAGCAGAACAGGGGGACTGACTGAAACCCCCTGCTGAGGGAGCGGCCCCTCCCGGGAGCCCGGAGGTCTGCGCCCTGGGGGGTCGCAGTCAGGCCGCAGGGCTGCCCAGCGCCACCAGAGGCGCGTTTGTTTCTCTTAACAAACTTCACTTTGGAGTAATTTCAGATCTAGAGAAAGTCGCCGGGAGTTGGGAGCTTCACTCCGCTTCGGGGGTGGACACTGCGCCAGGGCCTCGAGGCCCTTCCTGGCCGGGAGCCCTCCGCGGCTAGTCTTGGGTCTCGGCCTCGGCCTCGCGGCCAGGCCGGTGGCCCTCCGCGCGGCTGTGTGTGGTGGTGGCAGGCGGTTTGAGGTGGGCTGGCGGGGACTTCACTGACTGGACTGAGCGGCTCGGCGGGGGCAGCCGGTGCCTATTCCTGCCAGCTTTAGGCTGCGCCTGCAGCCGCAGCCCAGCCCGGACCCAGCCCGTGGGGTGGTGCGGCCCGCACGGCTTCCCCAGTGCATCCTGACTTGCAGCGTGTGGGTCATCTGCTGCCCGCCGCCCTGGCGAGGCCACCTGTGGGGACTCTTTTTCAGGGCGGAGGGGCCAGGCGCGGCAGTGCGGCGGCCGTTGCAGGCAGGTTGCATCACCCTGGCCCTCTGTGCGAGGGGGCAGGGGGCTCTCTGGGGGCCCTGCGCACCTGGCAACGCCTGGATCCAGCACCCCAGGGAACATGGGGGAGGGGAGGGAAGCAGCACCTGTGTGGGAGCGGGAGAGCGGGAGACCTGGTGCTGCGGTGTGGGGGCAGCACTGAGGCCCCAGCGCCTGGGCGCCGCCACACACAGACTGTCTCCTGTCAGATCCTGATCCCCAACCCAGGGCGCAGCCTGTTAGGAGGCCACCGGCCTGGACCTTCCCCTCAGGTTTGCTCTGCTCACAGTGGCCACGTTCTGTGGGTTCCGCCCTGCGCCGGCCACCGGCCCTCCTGCCTTGCTGCTGCGGCCGCTCTGCTGGCTCCCCTGCCTGACGGGAAGGCACAGGGTCCGCGAGGTGGCCCCGGGTCTGGTCCAGCAACACCCCTGCGGGGCCTCAGCTGCCTCCCATGGGCGGGTCGCCGTGGGGACCGGGGACCCCTGCCGGTTCACACCCGCTGCCACGTGTTCCGTGGCAGCCTCTGCGTGACTCAGTTTCCTCCCCCGGGAGGGGGAAAGAGCCGCCTCACGGGTTGTCAGAACCAGGCGGGCAGTGCAGGTACAGTCGCTAGGACAGGGCCGCGCGGTGCGCGCGCCCGTGGAGGAGCTGACGCCGCCCTCGCAGTCAGCGCCACGGCCTGGGCTTGGCCCTTCTTCTGTGCCCCCGTTCTCCTCTCGGAGCCTCCTCGCACCGAGATGCCTGAGGGTGACTTTCTGGCGCCTAGAGGCAAGGTCTGGGCCCTCCTTGTTCCCAGAGTCCAGCCCCACAGCCCACGGGCGGCCGTGTTCTTGCTCAAAGGAGCTGGTCCCGCCTGAAGCTCGGGGTGTCCGTACGTGAGCCCTGAGGCCGCGCCTGGGGGGAGCGGTCACGCCGCCAGGAGGGGCAGGTGCCGGGCGCACTGCAAACAGGGCCAGGGAGGTCACGGCCAGCCTGGCGGAGGAAAGGCGCTGGGCACGGCGCTGGGGCCGCCACGTGGCCGCTGGTGCAGAGTCCTCTCAGCCCCTCCCCCCGCTGACCCCAGGGCGGCCACCGCATCCTGACCACCAGCCTCTGCACCGCCTCCTGAGGCTGCTCCACGGGTCACCGCGCAGTGGTAAGTGGGGCGCATGCGTGCCCTTCTTTTCTGGTGGCAGGAGACTGAAGTGGGGCCACAGGCTGTGCGCTCGAGGCTGCAGGGGCTCATGTGAAGGCAGGTCTCCCCCGAGATGTTCCAAACAGGCCTCCCAGGCGGGCCGCTCAGGCATGAGGTCACCTTGCCACCACGGCCTATCACCTGCCTTGAAGGGTGTAAAGTGGGGTGGGGGGGTCTGACCCAGAGGCGGCTGTCACTGAAAGGCCCTGATGTTCAGTGACCCATCTGTGGCCGTGGGTGCCTCCCTGCCACCCACCTCCGCTTGGCGATGCCTCCCTTGACCTTCCTCACTGGGGTGAGGCTGGGGTCACCCCTATGCAGAAGTGCTTTTCTGTCTCCCGCTAACCTGTCCACTGTTGATCTGATCACTCAGCCAGCCCGGGAAGTGCCCAGAGAGACAGGAGCTTCCCCTTCTCCCCATCAGCTGCCTGAAAAACCCTTTCCAGCGCCTAGAGGCCTCGGCATCCCCGGCACGGCCCCTTCTCCACTCGCGCCGCCTCCCCCTTTGAGCTCCCAAAGCGCTTAGAAAGACCGATGGCATCAGCCCCGCCTGGGTAACGCCCAGGGAGCCCCCTATTTTGTCTCCTGCAGAGTCCCTTCTCCATGGAAGGTGACGTGTTCGCAGGTTCTGGGGCTGGAGTGGACATCTTTGGGGGCCGCTGTCCAGGCTGCCGCTCCTCCCCTCTCAGCCTTGGTTTGCTCGTCTGGGGTGAAGGCTGGAGCCAGCTCGAGGGCCTGCGCCCTCACGGGCCCACGGCTGGCTACGGGGAAGCGCCGGGCAGACCGCAGGGGCTGGCCACAGTGTGCTGGCCTCTTCCACGGCGTGACCGGAGAGCTGGGAGCCAGGGGAGCTGCCTCTGGGAGTGGGGAGGCCCATGCTGTGCTGGCCTGTGGGACAGCGCTGCCCTCCACCAGGGAAGGGGGTCCAAATTCAGAGGTCCTGGTGGTTCCAGGAAATGCCAACAAACCAGGAGTGGGGTCGGGTGGCCCCTCCCTGATCTGTGCACCCACACAGCCCCGTGTGCACAAGCCAAAGCCGTCACCCCACGTGTGCGCCAGCCAGAGGGACGAGTCCTGCGGAGCCAGAGGGCCCGGACACCCCAGGCTCCCTCCACCCAGCCCTGTGGCGAGCAGCGAAGGTCTGGGGTGGGATGCCTGTTGGGTGAGGCGCAGCTCGTGTCTCGGCTCCCCGTCCCATACCCCACCTGCCCCCCGGGGCCCCAGGGAGGCCAGCAGTTGAACACCTTGGGTCTCTTGCTCTGGGGGCAAAGGAGGCCACCACTGCCGGGATCCTGGGGTGTCTCGGGCAGGGCGTGTTAGGTAGGGGCTAAGGGCTGGGCTGGGCAAGGGTGGCTCTGGCAGTGATGGCGGGTGGGCGTGGCCTGGCCCTGGCCCGTGCCCACCTCTATCTCTTGGGGCCCGGTGTGGGGCGGAGGCTGCGGCCGCAGGATGGAGCAGCAGCTCCCGAGTTGCTGCAGTGGGGAGCTTTGATCTTGGGCAATATCCAGGTTTTTGTCTGGTTTGAGATGTGCCTCTGGAGCCTGCTCGATTTCACCTGTCCAGCAAGGCAGAGTGACCCTGCCCAGCATTCTGGGAAGACGCCCCGTCCCACAGGAGGACGCCAGGGCCCGGGGGGGCCACCAGGGGTGCAGAAGCTCTGTTCTGTGGAGTCATCTGTGAGGCGCTTGGGAGAGAGAGAGGCAGGGAACCACGCCAGGCCCCCAGATCCTCATAGGGATGTG